AGCATCAGCTTTACAGTTCATGTACATCGAGCTTACGTGTTCTAAACAGAATGAAACGTGCGTCCTGCACTCCACTGCAAGAAATTGGACTGGGACCTTATGTACATTAATAACAATATAAATATCCGTTTATTTGTTTGCAGATCTCACGAAGATGTGTTTGTGAAGTAACTAGCTATGAACTCCCTTTTGAAGGTTGTAGATCTATGCTCTATGTCATCTATCTTAGACCAATCCGCTCTTCTGATGAATTTTACAACACATTCAGCTATGAAGTAAAAATAACAGATAACTGACATTAGGTTTTAATGAACCTGATATCAACTGGATAGAGATGACCACCGTAGTTACTGTAGACTTTTGATAGTAGGCTCCTGATGACTGTAGTGGAGCATGCTTTATACAACACGTATTCGGACCCACACATTTTGGTTCAAACAAAACTCGAACTTAGTAGTCACTCATATAATCAAGGATATTGCCTGTCTAAATATCCTCCCACCGATCATGGTGTTTTGTCACTCATGTTTAGGGCTTACGACATAATACACGGTCAGGCTGCCCCCCCCTCAAATGTGTGGAGAGCAAACACAACAGCCAAACAGAAAAGTGCTGGGAAAATGGACTAATCAGTAAATATCAGCTCATCAATTAGAGAGATATGGTTTATACTTAGGGGTACACTTGGTTTACTTACATCCCCGTTTGTATGTTAGTAACACGTGGACCTTTTAACTCACCACCATGCATAACTAAACAGGTCAAGAAACTGCTTAGACGTAGGAAAAGGCGTTGACGTATGCTTATCTATACAGACTCTGAACAGTACATATTCACTTATTGTAAGACTAGGAACGGTTGCAAGGCGTTGATAAGGCTCGACATTCATATGATACACAATTTGTTAAGAACTGTGAAAACAGTTAGCCAATGTTTCTCTAGCATAGAGATGCAAACTTAGAGAAGTGATGAAATTCCACCAATTTTGGTGAAAAATCCGCTTAGATTAGAAAGAAACGCTGAAGCTTTATCAGAATATTTTAATAGTGTTTTCTATCTATGATAGTGAAATACTAACAACTAATTAAGATGGCGGCTTGTCGACGGATCCTCTGGTTATTGAGATACGGTTTTTCTTACAATTGCTTCAGATGGTTAGCATCTGGAGTTTCGTTTCTTGCTCAAAGTAGTGAATTACTGGAATTATCAACCAGGAAATGTAATATCAGCACCTCCGGCTGGTACATTATAGACAAGATTGGGTCTTCACAGTGCTAAAAATCGGAAGGATTAACGCAGGTCGATTGACTTATCCTTAGTAATAAACACTAGAGTTGGTATAGACACAATTGTGTCTAAATTAATTTAATCTCGTTAACCTTGACATAATATATTATACCATTACAATGGTATTAATTCCTTGCAAAATTTGCAAGTCGATATTATTAAGGGATTGATCTAAACTTTGTCGATCGGTTAGATCGCGTTTAATGACAGATCGTTTAAGCGTTTCGCAGTGTTACGAAACAGCACTAGTAAACATACTGGGTGTTGCGTTGCAACACGTGTAAGCAGAAGTCACTAGAAGGCGGGAAGACCTAAAACCACGACACATACTATGTTAACTGAGCACTTTACACCACAGGGAGTACACGGAATAGAGACCGCCGGTCATTTATTCGAAAAGTAAGACTCACGGGTTATGTACAGAAAGGAGAGCTAGTTTACAAAACGGTCTTATGAGTCATCCTGTAAGTTTAGTGCTTGCAGGGCTTGCTCTTCTTCTTCTAAAGCATTAATTCTGGTCTGCCCTTCAATAGGAAGAAAACAAAATCTATTAACAACGTCATACATGATGATTTTAACCCCGATACAACGTACGTGTTGAGTTTGCACGGTAGTGCCTTGACTACTGTGAGCAATTCCGCATGTGTGTCGTTCACGTGGTGCTCGTAGAAGTCGACTTCTGCGTAGCAGAACCAGGCTTCGATATTGTCTGGCCAGAAGGGCAATAGTTGGAACGGACGTGGGGACATAGTCTTTAGCTTAAGTACCTTGAGCATCAATATTGTGTCCTAGGAAGTCTAATGAGTCAGTTCGGATTTGGCAGTTTTGAATGATTACACTAGTTCCATGTTTTTGTAGTCGGTTGAAAACAAAATCCGGATGCTGGAGATGCGATTCTCTGTCCGGACTGGATATAAGGCAGTCACCATCATACTGATGTACGAGGTTGAGACCTCAAAAAACGTCATCAATGGGCCTTTGGAAGTTTTGGGCATCGTTTTTTTTACTGAAAGGCATTCGCGAAAATTCCTAGTTTGAGGGGAGTATTGATAGCGATTTTCAGTATATAGTCTGTAGCCATAGTGGTTTGGTTATACGCTTTAACCAAGTCGATTTTCGAAAAGACAGTTGCACCTTTCAAGGTAGCTGTCAAGTCGTGAAGGTGAGGCAACGGGTAACGATCAAGAATGGTTTCTGAATTCAATCGCCGGTGGTCACAAACTGGACGCCAATCGTTGCTGTCCTTTTTGGGGACCATGTGCAGCGGAGATGAATATGGGCTTGTTGACGGTCGTATGATTCCTAAGTCCATCATGTGGTCGAACTCGCTTTTCGCCAACCTTAGCTTTTCGGGGGCTAATCGCCGTGCATTAGAGAATACAGGTGGTCCTGTAGTCGTGATGTGATGTATAACATTGCTGGTTACACAGGGTAATCTCGGTTGCAGTTGGTATATCCTAGAATACTTATCGAGTAGTGGTTGATAAAGTGAGTCTATCGTATGCTTAACTGTGACTGGGGATAATCTGCAACCAGAAAAGGAAGTTACGCAAACGGATAAATTAGTGTTTCTGTATAATAGCTTCCGTTTGCGCGTATCGATGAGTAGACTATGGTGTTGTAGAAGGTCTATACCAATGATTGGCATAGAAACATCTGCAACAACGAAGATCCAGTGTATGGGTTTGCGTAAACCCACGTAAAGGTAAACGTACCTTTTACCATATGTGGCTATAGGCTTTCCATTTGCCGCCTGTAAGTTTAAAACCGATTAGTGAAGCCGGTCGTTGAGATTCGCTGGGAGAACGCTAACATCCGCGCCAGTGTCGACGAGGTAGCGAACTCTCGTTGTCACATCTGTCGCGTATAACAGACGGCAATGTTCGCTGGCTGCGTTTGCCGTTATGGCGTGCCGGCTTGGAAGTTTCCCGAGTTGTTTTTCGTGTCGGTCGACTTTGAGTTGGGAAAATTGCAGGGTCTTCTGCAATTTCTGGAGGACTTTCCATACTGATTTTGATGCCAGCACCAGTCGGGGTTATCTGTCTCTCGTGGTCTAGAGACAGATCGCTTAGGTGAAGTGCTTCTGCGTGGGGTGTGTGATCGCTTACGGTCGTTACGAAATTCACGATAACGTGTAAGTGTATGACCTTACTGCGTTATGTCATTCTGGTTTGTTTGAGGCTTTTCTTTGACTGGAAAAACCTCGGTTTTCGATTTCGTGATTTCTAAGGCGTTGTTGTGAAACGAGACAAGAACAGCTTGCACCTGTTGAGGAAGTTTGGACAAGATAAGTTGTTTGAATAGGCCTTCGTCGAAAGTTCTTAGTCCTATAACCTCTCTCACCCTTTGCAACATGTCCGTCGCAGAACCGTGTTGCTGGTCGACGTTATTAAGGAGTTGGTCTAACCTCTGTCTATCGGTGAAGTCTCCACGTTTTGGAATAGAACGTTTCAACGTTTCGTAAGGTTCAGAAACATCACTAGTAAACATACTAGGTGCTACGTACCTGTTGAATTCGTGCGGTAGTGCCTTGACTACTTCGAGGGATTGTGCATGTGTGTCGATCACACTGTGCTTGTAGAAGTCGGCTTCTACGTAGCAAAACCAAGTTTCGATGTTATCTGGCCAGAAGGGCAGCAGTTGACACGAAGGTCGGACAATGTCTTAACATTAAGTACTTTGGGTGCTTGTTCAGTCATGATGAAATATGAAGTACGTGAATGAACAGTGAAAAAAAATATATATGTCCAAAAACACGAAAAAATATCACGATGTTTAAAAAATTAGGATAAGGCAATGATATACAGTATCCCAAAAAACAACAGACTCACAGTTTACGATTTGGTGTACCAGATCACGTCGGACCCACCAATGAAGATGCCACAGGTATTTGGAGTTTGACAACGCTTTAACCAGTAACACCTAATATGAAGCCTACCCACCAAGTGAAATCAAAAGACAAAAGCGAGGAGGTTTGAAGATATAGTTAATAGGCTATCAATATATCGAGAATCGTCTAATCTAATCTGGATAGCGACTGCAGGGGTTGTTGAGCACGGCGTTCCCACTCGTGACCTGGAGCGGATGCATGACCGAGCTCGTTCAGCTAGGTGAGTCCATTAAAACTAATGTGGTCACCATCCAATGTCGAAAACTTACAGAGCTGTTTATTTTGTTGATTTATTTTCAGCTACAAGGTCATAGACCCAAATCAAAGGTTTCACTATCTGTGGTTTTGTTATTTGTACAATGTAATAAGTCGTCTCAGTTCTGAAGCAAAACACACCCTATAAGGACGTTTATTTGGTATATTCCAAGCAAGTTTGTGTCTTCACAGTCCTAGAAATAAGAGGAGTATAACGTGGGTTAATGGACCTATACTTACTATTGAAAACTGAAGATAATTGGTAAGCTGTGATGTTTTGAAGAATATCTGCTTGGGAGTGTCATTTGCGCAGACAAAAAATAAGAAAGACCACAATGGACTTTTTGTAGACACAACTAAAACCTGCAGTATACTAAACAATGAATAGTTTGCTGTGACCCAAGATAGTACATCATTTTTGTTGCCTAAGCCTGTCTGCATAAGAGATTGGATACTATTCTAATAAGAGAATGAAAAAAGGTTTAATGTTTTGAACAGCAAGCATTCACTGATCATTGAAATTGTTTCGAACAAGCCCCAATCGACCTACTGTATTTTTACTTCTTGCACTTTTTTAAGTATTGACCTTGACATAAGTCTATAGTATGTGATGTCTCTTAGGTTGCTTTTTGGCTCAGTGAAACTAAGACATCTTTGGATGCTAGTTTTGGCATATGTTATCTCGTTCATTGTGGTGGATCATCATAGCTATTCGCTGATACCAGTTTGGGCTTTACATTTAAAAACTAATAAACATGTTCCAGTTGAGTCAGATGGAAATTCTAGCAATTTGTTTAGCACAGTTGTCGAGTACTCATCACACAATTGGAGCATCTACTTGTCAGTTACTGTTCCTCAGTCAAATAGTAGTTCTTCATACGATTTGGTCGTTTTCCAACTCCCTATGTCAAAGTCACTTGAGTTTTCTGTTATGGATCCTGATCGTAAAATAGCTAATTTTCTAAATTTCCGAAAAATACAGTCAAACAGTTTTAACCGAAAACCGGTCAGGTTGAAATCTTTGTTTTATAAAGGTAGTTTGGTAGGTTTTAGTTTGTTGCTAGGCATGTACTTTTTGGGTTTAGATCCATGTGGTTGTAGAATGTCGCAAAATTAGCTCTCCAGTGAACTCTTATGTTTTATTTGAGATTGCTGTGTACAATAGTCAGCTCAGAGAAACATGGAGGAGAGCTCTTTACCAAATTCTACTGGATGAGAACGCGCTAGACTTCAAATCAGTTCCTATCTCCTTATCACTTGATTTAACATGCGGTTTGGTTTATCCTAGACTTTGTGGGGTGATCTTTGTCGGTTTCCTGACAAATAAGTAAGTTTGATCATCTAAATACTTATTCTTGTAAGGATTGATATATGTCACCTAATGCCAGGGATTTCCCATTTTCTATTCTACTGAATTATGTTTAGAAATTTACAAAATGATCGTTTAAGTGCGTCATGGCAAAACAAATGGTTTTGGCGTCCTAATCACTGATGGTATTTGGGTAGTTAGTGTCTAACTACGACAAATATTCCTTATCAATGCATTGATGGTATAAACATTGTTATGTTATTCACAAACAAAACTACATTATTCAGGAAAAAATCTAGTTTTCGGAACTCCTGAAACTGATGTTAGTGTTATTTAGTGTAGCCACCTTATTGATGATATGAATCCTGCTCACGAAAGCCGATTGAAATTTGACTTGCTACTGTGGAAACATTCACTTTGTGACTGAGACTAGCAACATGGTGGAACAATTTCGACAACTTTCCTGTTTACATCAATAACATGACGGTTAAGGATGAACCATAACAGAAAGTTCAGTATTTAACTTGATTGTTCCAAAAACGGCTGCGATTTGTTGTAAAACCATCATGTAAGTAATGTTAAGACGGAGCGTCAAGTTAGATTTCGGAATACTTAATTGCACGAAATTACATAATAATAACCACTGAAGCCTAAGGTTAATACCACTATGCTAGCGTACATGCAGTCCAGCACGAAGTCAGGTGCATGCTTCATTCAACCGCCGAAGCCTGGGGTAAATGCCACTAAGCCAGCGTGCATGCTTCATTATATATTTTTAGGTCGTGATAATGATCCATCCGCAGGTTCACCTACGGAAACCTTGTTACAACTTTTACTTCCTCTAAATAGTCAGATTAAGTCATCTCAGCATCAGTCGAGTGGCGAAGCCACTACAACGACACCAATCTAATCGGTAGTAGCGATGGGCGGTGTGTACAAAGGGCAGGGACATAATCAGCGCAAGCCTATGAATTACATTTACCAGGAATTCCTCATTCACGGGGATTAATTGCAAACCCCAGTCACGAACTTGATGAAACAGTTTGCCCAACCCTTTCGGCCAGGTGGTCAGACTCGTTGGCACCGTCATTGTAGGGCATCACAGACGCGTTATTGCTCAATTTCGTGCCACTTAAATATGACGCTTGTCCCTCTAAGAAGTAAATAGTGGTACCGCACCCGCCGGCTCACGACCACACTACTCCATAAAAAGCAATGGAAGCCACGCCCTAAACGAGCACAGAGGACCAGTCTACTATTTATCAGGTTAAAGTTCTTGTTTGTCATCGGAATTAACCAGACAATTCGCTCCACCAACTAAAAACGGCCATGCGCGTTTGGTGTGATCGTTAAGAACGTTCGCATCTATTCAACTGTAACAGGGTTGTCCATGACCAGGTTCAAGACAAAATCAATGCAGTTAAACCATGAGATAGGTTTGATCTGTTGGATTGCTTATGTCATACTTATGTACTGGATAGTGATACTACTGTTGTAGAGGTAGAATTCAAACATTAAGAGTCGCCAATCCACTGCTGTTTATGGAATTGATTCGCTACTGTAGTTAAAGTAGTTGGTTGGTTTGACCCCACTGAACTAAGACATAGTTGTTACTTTCTTTTGGTTTGGTCTTAGCATAATCATTTCCTGTATTATCAATCGTGTTTTGTGACTGTACGTATACTGTGTCAAATGAAAAACTGGTTTTAGAGGATAACGGTTGTTTAGTGTTGCAAAGCAATCTAGCGATTTTCCACTTTCAGATCTAAATGTCTGCTATATGCTGACTTGAGAGGCTTCTAATGGCCCTACAGCTTTGCAACACTTAGCATCAATTTTCAGTTCAAAACAATCCCTTGAATTCTGTATACTGATCATCCATAGCTTTGCTTGAGTAGTCATAAGGTGACCATCGAATCCCCAGTTTTGAATCTGTATTCCTTGGTCATGTCATTACAGTCTACGGAATTTTATAGATCCTAGGTTTAATCTAAAATGCTCGCGCATATCTATCATTTTGCTTCATATTTAAGTACTTCTGTATTAGAATTTCCAAATTTATAAAAACTGTATACTATGGATGCCAAAATGGGTTAATGTAGTTGAATTCCATGTAAATCAACACTTTCTAAGACTATTTGAACTTAAGGTCTTACCTTTAAATTCTCCTGAACGATTTCTGTCCTATTTAGCTACATACTGTTAAGATTTACGTGTTTTTATCAATGATAATCATTAGTACTAGATTAGATAACTTATATAGTCTCTGGTTATCTCATTTACAGAGATTATTTTTCATAGACTCAAATTAATGCTTTTTATACCTTATTCAAGAGCACATAGTACTTTCACAAAAAAACTAGTTATACAAAACCTCATCTTTGTTATATATCTTTAACTGTTCAAATATGTGTTGTTCATTTATTTATACTAAGGAACTATGATTTTTTGACCATATTAGAGTATGTAAATCAAGCTCATAACAGTGTTATGAGGTTGATGGCTAGGTGTTGTAATGATCGCACTTCAATTATATCCTGGTCCACTTCGTCAGGTTCATATCGTCCGCAGCTGATATAAATACACAAGTACGACAATTATTCACTAACTCCCAATGAACACGAAAGCTCACAGTTCTTCCTCTTATGAAAACACTTTTCAGTCCCACGGTGCAGAGTGCATCACCATTGTATAAATACCAATCAACAGTAAACGAATAACAAACCACCATAGTTTTTTCTGTGATCTACGTAAAAGTGTCTTAATGCGCTCATTAATTTAAAAGTGACGAATATAACGTGCTTAACAAACAAATATGCTTATTTGTCTACTTAAGTGTACTAGTGTTTTTATTACTTCTCACAGTTCTAACATATCTGAACATTCATTCATTCATCCTTAGTAGTCTGCATTATTCAAAGCAAAGGATCTTTTAAAGGCCGTAATTTTAGCAATATTTGATCTTATACAATTGTTTCTTCATCTTCCGTAGTATCAGCTTATCACATTACTCTACCATATCCCTTTCATTGGATGATGGGGAAATACTTTGGCACCATCTAGTTGGTGATTTCGAAGATTCGATAAAAGTAAGATAAGTTTGATCATAAAGTGCTATGTAAATAAACAGGTTAGTGTTCCTTTTACACACTGTCATTATTGGAAATGTGTAGATGTTTTTCAGCCTACTTTCACAACGTAGCGCATAGCTTTATGATTTAAAATAGACTAAATTATTTCCACTGATAACAAAAACTATCTCTTTCAGTATAGGGGATCGTGAAAATTGTTGAATTCCGTAGTTTTAGACCACATCCTGACTTTCTTGGATAACCATTGAAAAACAAGAAGCACTAGATAGACTATCTGTGAAACTCAAAATATTGCACAGTAAAAGTGTATACTTAATCCCTTGTTCACTACTGATCGTTTAGAATTTTACTTATAAAACTACTGATGTAGATTTTATTTATTGAGTTAAATTTTTAGTGGGAAATATGCATGTTAGGACGTTCCAAAATTAACGGAATTAATGACTTTGCTTACGCCTGTTACTCTTCATGGAAAAGCACAGGCCACCCACAAGCATTATTATTATTATTATCTGCTTTATTCAGTATTATATTTTTGGTACAATATAGAATTTTCAGCGCAAAGTATTTCAACAAGTTTCCGTTTCTTTCTTCTTGGTCGGTCCTGGCGATAAATATTGAGTGATCACCAGTTAGATGTTAGCACTTCAGTGAATGAACATCTGAATAATGTGCATTATTTTTGTTGTATATTGCCAGCAACCACATTGTCTCTTATTGAGTTTTTTGTAACTTTGACAACGAAAGGTTGTACACTTTTCAGAAACGCAGCAGGATAGGTTATGCGATTAATAAACATAATGATATATTAAAACAAACAAAAATAGATAACTTGTTGAAATATCTAGATGGCAGGAACAGGTAACCCAGATGCTCAAGCAGGCCGCCCTTTTCTCCACCCAACTCCAACTGGGCAATCCTTCTCGGTTGCCATTCATCATTTCGATGCCTGCTTCCAATATCCAACGCAATATGCTCCTTGGTCTTCCTCTTTTCCGTTTCCTTCCAGGATTCTAGTTAGCGCTTGCTTCGTGATGCAGTTTGGTGATTTCCAGAATGTATATCTTATCCACTTCCATCATCTTTTCTTAATTTTCTCCTTAGCTGGGACCTGCTTTGTTCTCTCCCGACCAACGGATATTGAGTATAATGCGTAGACAATTGATTATGGTTGTGGTAGTTCTCCAAGTTTCAGTTCCGTACAATAGAACTGTCCTGGCGTCCATATTGAAGATTGTGACTTTGATATTGGTTGACAGTTGTTTTGAGTCCTATATGTTGTTCAACTGTACGAATGCTGCCATTTCTTAAGCATTCCTTGCATTTAAGTCTGCATCAGATCCTCCTTGTTCATCGATGATGCTTCTCAGGTACGTGAATGTTTTCACCTCTTCCAGAGTTTCTCCATCAAGTGTAATTGGACTGGTGTTCTCCGTGTTGTATTTGGAGATCTTACTTTTTACCTTGTGTATGTTGGGGACTACTGATGCAGTGGCTACTGCTACACTGGTTCTATTGGTATGCATTCGTTCGTGTGTGTGTGGGATAGAAGAGCTAGGTCATCTGCAAAGACCATATCGTCTAGTTGCATGCAAGCTGTCCATTGTATTTCGTGCTTCCCCTCAGGAGTAGCTTACTTACTTACGCCTGTTACTCCTCGTGAAAGGGCATAGGCCGTTCACCAGCATTCTCCATCCAACCCTGTCCTGGGCAATCCTTTCCAGCTCTTTCCAACTGTTATTCATCTTTTTCATGTCTGCTTCTATTTCCCGACGTAATGTGTTCTTTGGCCTTCCTCTTTACCGCTCCCCTACAGGATCCCAAGTTACGGTTTGTCTCGTGATGCAGGTTGATGATTTGCGTAATGTTTGTCCTATCCATTTCCATCGTCTTTTCCTAATTTCCTCTTCAGCTGGAAGCTGGTGTATTCTCTCCCACAAGAGGCTGTTGCTGATGTTATCCGGCCAATGGATGTTGAGCATCCCGCGAAGACAGCTATTTATGATTACTTTTACCTTCTTGATGGTGGTTGTAGCAGTTCTCCAGGTTTCAGCTCCATACAGTAGAACTTCCTTGACGTTCGTATTGAAGATTTTGGCTTTGATATTGGTTGAAAGTTGTTTTGAGTTCCATATGTTCTTCAGTTGTAGGGATGAGGCCCTTACTTTGCCAATCCTCGCCTTTATGTCTGCATCTGATCCTCCTTGTTCATCGATGATGCTTCCCAGGCATGTGAGAGATTCTACATCTTCCAGAGTTTCGCCATCAAGTGTGATTGGATTGCTGTTCTCCGTGTTGTTTTTGAGGACCTTGGTTTTCCCCTTGTGTATGTTGAGGTCTACTGATGCAGAGACTGCTGCTACACTGTCTGTCTTTATCTGTATTTGTTCATGTGTATGTGATAGGAGGGCTAGGTCATCTGCGAAGTCCAAATTGTCCAATTGGTTCTGAGCTGTCCATTGTATGCCGTGTTTTCCCTCAGATGTCGAGGTCTTCATAATCCAGTCGACCACCAGAAGAAAGAGGAAGGGAGGGAGTAGACAGCCTTGTCTGACTCCGGTCTTTACTTGGAATGCATCTGTCAGCTGTCCTCCATGCACGACCTTGCACTGTAGTCCGTCGTATGAGTTCCGGATAATGTTGACAGTCTTTTCAGGAACTACATAGGGTCGAAGAATTTTCCATAACGTTCTCCTATCTACACTGTCAAATACCTTTTCATAATCAATGAAGTTGATGTACAGTGACGAGTTCCACTCAATTGATCGTTCGACGATGATGCGTAGTGTCTCCATCTGGTCGGTGCACGACCGATCCCTACGGAATCCAGCTTGTTGATCTCGAAGTTGAGCGTCTACTGCGTCTTTCATCCGGTTCAGCAACACTCTGTTAAAGACTTTCCCTGGTACTGACGGTAGTCTAATGCGCTTGTGGTTTTCATATTTGCTCATATCTCCTTTCTTCGGAATCTTGATGAGGTGTCCTTCTTTCCAGTCCATCGGCACTTGTTCCTCCTCCCAAATCCTTTTGAGTAAAAGGTGAAGCATGTTTGTAGTTACTTCGATGTTTGACTTCAGTGCTTCAGCTGGTGTATTGTCGGGTCCTGCTGCTTTCCCGCTCTTGATTTGTCTGATGGCCACTCTGATTTCTTTGGTCGTTGGTGGGTTGACATCTATAGGATGATCTGTGTGTGCTGCTTCGATGTTCGGTGGATTCATTGGAGCCGGCCTATTCAGGAGTTCCTCGAAGTATTCTACCCATCTGTTTCGCTGTTGTTGAATTTCGGTGATTGGCTTGCCTTCTTTGTCTTTGACCGGCCTCTCTGGTTTGCTGTATTTCCCTGATAGTTTCTTCGTTGTATCGTGAAGTTGTTTCATATTTCCTTCTCTAGCAGCTTTTTCTGCCGTCGTTGCTAGTTCTTCCACGTATTTCTTCTTGTCGGCTCTAATGCTCCTCTTCACTTGTTTGTTTGCTTCTATGTATTCAGCTTGTGCTTGGACTTTCTCTGCTCGTGTTCGGCTGTTGTTTATTGCTGCCTTATTGTTCTTCCTTTCTTTGATCTTGTCCAGTGTTTCTGTAGAGATCCATTCCTTATGATGGTATTTCTTTAGACCGAGAACCTCTTGACACGTTGAAGTTAATGCTTCGTTGATGCTTTTCCAGTTGTCCTACATAGTAGTTTCTTCTTCCTTCAGTAGATCTTGTAAGGCTTGGAACCTGTTGTTGAGAGCTATCTTGAATTCATTGAGTGTGTCAGTATCTCGAAGGAAGGCTGTATTGAACCTTTGTAGTACTGTTTGTCCAGTTGTCCAGTTCTTTTTCAGCTTCAGTTTTAAATTGGCTACAACTAGGTGGTGATCTAAAGCTATGTCAGCACCTCTCCTGGTTCTCACATCTTCCATTGTCCTTCGGAATTTTTTGTTGATGCAAATATGATCTATTTGGTTCTCTGTAGTGTGGTCCGGCGAGATCCATGTAGCCTTGTGTATACACTTGTGTGGAAATATTGTGCCTCCTATGACCAATTTGTTGAATGCATATAGATTTGCAAATCTTTCTCCATTTTCGTTTCTCTCTCCCAGTCCATGTCGTCCCATAATATCTTCATATCTGGTGTTGTCTATTCCGACTTTGGCATTTAGATCTCCCATCAGAATGGTGAGGTCCTTTCTTGGGCATTTCTCTATCACTGACTGCATCCGCTCGTAGAATTGATCCTTAATGTCGTCGTTGCTATCATTGGTGGGTGCGTAACATTGAATGATATTCATTGTGATCCCCTCATTCTTTGTTTTGAATGATGCTTTGATAATTCCCATCCTACAAGTGCATTTCGTGCTACTTTGGACAGCATTAGAGCGACTCCCTGAATGTGTGGAGCATTTTCCTCTTCGTGACCGGAGTACAACAGTATTTCTCCCGTATTTAGCTTTTCTTGTCCAGCTTGGGTCCAATGGGTTTCGCTGATTCCCAGTACTGCCAAGTTGTATCTCCTCATTTCCATTGCTATTTGACTGGTCTTCCCGGTCTCCCACATTGTCCGTACGTTCCATGTACCTATAAAAATTTTGCTCTAGTTGTTAGAAGGGGCATCGGCCTCGTGGCTTCCGAAGGAGCTTGGTTTTCACCATGAGGCGTCATAACTCTTCTAAATGAAGACCTTCTAACTCCCAGGACAGAGTTTAAATGGTTTGAATTATTTGTTTCTGGTTAGCGTTTTTTTAGCGAGTTAGTTTTCTACGTGATGGGGTCGCTAACCCAATGCCCAACCATCATCGTCTATTTGAGCTTGGGACCGGCAGTAACTCTAGAAGAGCTAGAGGCGGAGTTCCTCAGAAGTAGAAGTCTTCATAATCCAGTCAACTACGAAAAGAAAGAGAAAGGGGGAGAGTAAGCAGACTTAACTGACTTCGATCCTCACTTGGAATGCGTCTGTCAGCTGTCCTTCAAGCGCGATTTTTCAGTGTAGTCCATCGTATGATTTGCGACTGATGCTGACGATTTCCACAAATACACTATAGATTCGAAGAACATCACATAATAATCTTCTATCCACGCTGTCAAATGCTTTCTCATAATCAAGTTAGTTGATGTGTGTTGACGATTTCCACTCAATCGATTGTTCAACGGTGATCCGTAGTGTTAGGATTTGGTCTGTGCACGATCGATCCCTACGGAATCCAGTCTGTTGATCTCGAAGTTGGGTGTCTACTGAATCTTTCGTCTGGTTGAGCAACACTGTCGAAAACTTCTAGTGATACCGATAGTACTGCGATGCCTCTGCAGTTCTCACATTTGCTTAGATCTACTTTCTTTTGTATTTTGATGAGGTCTCCTTCCTTCCAGTTTATCAGCGTCACTTGTTTCTCATCGAAAATCTTCGTGAATAGAGTGTGGATCATGTTTGCAGTTGCTTCTATGTCTGACTTCAGTGCTTCGGCTGGTATATTGTCAGGTCCTACTGATTTCCCACTCTTGATTTGTCTGATGGCCATTCTGACTTTTGATCGTTGGTGGAGTGACCTCTGTTGGAGGTCTGTGTGTGCTGCTGCTATGTTTGGTGGGTTCAGTTGAGCTGGACTATTCAAGAGTTCAAATTGTTCTGACCATTTGTTTCTCAGCTCTTGAATCTCAATGTTCTAACCTGTTCGTTCGGGTTGAACATATTTCCCTGCTGGTCTTTTCGTCGGATCGTATCTTTGTTTCATATTCCTTTTTATGCTATCATTGTTATGTCTTGCACATATTTGCACTTACCAGCTCTAACGCTCTTTTCACTCGTCTTTTGCCTCTATGTATTTAGTTTGTTTCTGACTTTCTCTGCTGTTAAACCACACGTATGACGCTTGAGTTTGTAAACCAGAGTAAGTATAATAGATCTCGACTTGCAATCTATTTGACTGTCCAGGGATCTTGGTACCTGCGTCGTAGCCCCATAGAATTGAACTATTCTGTTCAGTTCTTAGTGTAAAAGCTTGGATAGTGTCTGGTTCTCCTGAAAACCAACGTAAAATTATTCTCTTGCAGAGTGTATTTGTATAATTGTAATCCACTAGTTATGAATGAATATTTTGAAATATTAGATCATGGACTGAATACTATTTAGAATGAGTACTAATCAGTAATAGCGTTTAAATCTATGACGTATCAATTAACTCTACGTAATATTGTTCTTCCCTGTGAATTATCGATTGAATAGGTGATTTTGATGAAAGTAAATTGCATCACTGTATAATACACGTCATTTTTTTCAACATAGGCTTATGAAAGTGATTTAGTTTTGAAGAACTGGAAAATACGCATTTCGAAACAATATCTGTTTAGAACACATATTGATGAATCCCCGTGGACCGAATTTACTGAAAGTCTCTCCCATATTTTCGTAAGTTTTATTACTATAATTCTATTACTAAGCTTGTTATTCGACTTCATTTACTATGAATCTTGTTTATTAGTTTTTAAAGAAGGAAACCTTGTTATAGGATTTCTCAGAAGAGCCCAGATCTTTGAATATTGTGTTCACGTTTCAAAGTCTCATCAATCCAAGTCGTGGTATTTTTATAAAGAGGTTACCACAAGTTCACTAATGCAAGTGAATAACTTTGTCTCTTACAATGCCTTTTTAGACCTTTTAAGATTCGATTTCCTGAGTTTTACTCCTGTAACTTCCCTCCTGAACGAGTCAACCTGGTTGTGTTCATTCTTTTGTCATTTTGAGATGAGACTATATGGCTGATTCTTTTGTGTGGGTTTCGCTGAATATATGTTACGTGTTGTATGGAGAGAGGTTTACTTGGGTGAGCGACATGGGTCGCCAACTGTTTAATGTACTTGTTGGTGACTTAAGCGAATTATTTTATTTATTAGCCCTCCTCACTAAACAATCTTTGTCTCTAATATAGCATATTTATTACTAAACGTAAATTATGCATAATATATTTTATTTTGTGCGTTGAGTATTTAACTAGCCTCAATTCCTTATTTATCATTTGTAGCCTGTTCGTTGGTATGGTGTGGGTAGTTGTGAAATTCGCCTTGTATATGCAAAGAAACACTCAGAATATCCTGTAGAAAAGTCTCTGCGTACCCCAAATGCAATTGCTGTGATCCATCAATCAGGTCTAGATCTTCTAGATTTAAAATCTGGTCATCCGCTTATGACTATTACTTTAAGATGGAGTGAGTAAAGAGCTTACTGGTTTTTTCTTGGAAGAATTGTTGCGATGTCAGAATATGACCATGTTTGGTTATTCCTTAGCATAGACCTCATGATATAAATTACTACTATTCAGTTATGGCAACTTCAACTGAATAATTCAAATTGCTACATTGCTCGTTAATTGTTAACGCGAAGATGGAGGATAATGGTATTTTGAGAGAATTGTTGCGTTCGGTATTGCTGAGAAACTGCATTCTAGGTTCGTTGAATCAAAGTTTGATAATGGTTACCTTTCAACTGAGATAAGAGATTAGATTTTGCTTAACAAGCTACTAAAAACTACTAAAGGTTATCTTAATATTTTTTAACTGAGCACTAGTATTGGTTTTTTTTAGTCATCCATTTGTCTACAAAATTAATGTTAAACTTCGCATTTGTAAATTTGAAGACGTTTAAGCTGTAAATAGTTAACAAAGTGGTAAGGAAAAAGTAGTTCTAAACATTATATACTTTGCAAGCCATTAGGCAGGCAGAAAACTACACATAACTGGAAAAACAGTGAGCCTCTAAGAGTACCACACTTTCGAAGATCATTTTCTGCCAAAAGTATATCTAACCGATGCTATGCATTTCGTTTTTAAACAAATATCAAACGCGATATTGAAGACACTTATTTTGTGCTATTTAAATTTTATTAGTTTGAGAGAAATATTATAGAACGTCCTACTTATGTGCGCTTTCCTATTTTAGAGATCGGATCAACATATACTATTCTCTCTACTCCGGTATCTGATGGTCTGATTAGTCGCCAGCTTGGATCGCCTACAATTTATGAACTACGAATTGCTTCGGAAATTACGGATTCCCCATCAAATGGTTTGAAGATAAAAGTGCATTCTAGTTCTGACAATGTTAATTCATCTCTGGAGAGTGACTTTTCACATACTGTCGACTGTCAGGGTATATTCATCCGTCACGAATCTGCACCTAACAACTGGCAAGCAGTCAAATCGTTTTACTCAAACGAAATGATTGCAATTCATTCATCCACTTATCATGGTTTGTGTCGTCCTTTCAGAATGTGGGAGTATTCCAGACTAGGTAGATCTAATTGGCAAGAAGATTCAAGAAAATCTACTCCACCAGTTGTGGTGAAAAGGTAGTTTTAAAAGTCGTTTTTATGTGCTTTTATTTAAATAGTGACACGAATCAAATTAATGAATCAAGTTAATGGCTTATAAAACTTGCTGGTTCGGTTATGAATTAGTCATATCATTACTAGGTTTTCAACAACGTTTCATCTTTTGACTATAAATTCCAATGCTTTAGTCAGTCATAATCAAAATATAGCGCGGCATAAATATACGTTATCCCAAGTTGCCATACCATATCAGGATGATGAGATGAAATCAATAAGTAGCAAACAAACCAAAATAATGTAATAGTGATGACCATGAGAACGATCCAACATTGAGAATATGATTCAAGAAGACAGAATAAAAAGGGTATACATAGAAGATTTAGAGGAGGATAAACGATAAATATGTGTCATTGTGACCAATTCTGAGTCGTCTCTCCTAAAGTCTCTAACCACTGATCTCAGTTGTGTGTCCACCTTCTAACATACTTCATAGGTTGTTTTGTTTTACCACCTGTAGCGTTTTTCCAACCTACCTTTACTCCATCCAGCATTGCACATTGATTTAGTTTGTGCTTAGGCGCACATAACATATGTCTCAGCCATATCAATCTATGAAGATTCATAGCCTCATTAACTAATTTGGCGCCTTTAACACTACTTTTGGCTTTTGATAATCCTTTATAACCATGGTTCTAGAGCTTATGACTTCTTTTTGTGCTATATATTTGTGGCATAGATTTCGAATATAATCAACACTAAGGCAGAATTTGTTTAGTTTAATGAAGTTAGAAAGGTTCATTAACTAAGAAATAGGTCGATGAAGTTGATTTTATCAGACAAATTTGTTTCATCTATTCCTGTCATATTGTTTCTGCTTAATGATTTCTCATTCTGTGAAAACACTTTATGTTATTGTTTGATACCTGATTTATTCGGCACCATTTAGGTAAGAGACTGTGTAACGTTTTTTACTAATTTGCTGAAAAGACTTTATTAACCAACTAAATATAGACGTTAAGTGTTCGCGCGCGAGATCGAAGGTCCTGGGTTCAATTCTTGTGTGCAGGGTCGTAAATTCGCACTGATGAGAAGTCCCATACGAAGACAAAATGGCCGGTTAGTGCTCCCAAGTTTTCAGTGGTGGTCTAATTGAAACATTGGTTCATAATTTAAATGAAATTCAGTCATCTTCACGACCCCATTCTGATAAATATAAAAGTTATTATTAAGATGATGATTTGATTAAAATATACATTTTAACAGTCCTACATATTTATTTCTTAATGGTTATCAAAAATGCATACTACCAGTGAATTCTGTTGTAAAACATAGTGGTCTTATATTTTATAACTGACATCAATCATGAATCAGGCTAAATGTTAAGGCTTGTTTAAAATATAATGTTTATTTTTTGATGACTTGAATAAATTCTGATGACTTAGTGAATACTTCACTCAACATACGGTTTGGATTATCTCGCATCTTTAATTGCATTCGTGAATGGATAGAGGTTTAAAGCAAAATAAATTTTCTAGTGTTCTATTAGACAATACAATATACAGCTCGACATTCTTTTAATTTTGTCAGTTCAAGACTAATCATAGCAACTCAGTCGGGTTGTGTACTCACTTTATTTACCATGATCTAATAATAAGATCGATATTATTTGGGAAAATGCCCTTAAGAATAAGGTAATGAGTAGATGGAGACTATCATCGTTTTCGCTCAATGAATCTTCATTTCGTTTGGGCGCCTACTAAGCCTCATCGTTCCACACACAACTGAGTTAATGCAGCCGAACTTAAGTGATAACTATTATTAAGCGAAGTGAGTTGTCTCTATTTTCATTTATCGGTATTAAAATGGTCATAAACCTATGTAACGATTAGTGTACGCCACTTGATCTCTTATTTTTCCTCTATTTTTGATGTACAGACATATTCCATTATCAGGCTTAGCTAGATTATGGTATTCGTTGATGCGTGATAAATCTGATGAATTCAATCATTACGGTATGAATCAAGATTTAAGCCATACAAATGATCATGAACATCATGACATTTACTTTTTAACTTCGGATGGAATTATTACTTCTGTATCGAACTATGGGTATGAAAACTGGCGCGTAAGTTAGTATATTGTTTGGTGCTAGGTTCTAATGTGTCACTTCCCAAATTGATCTTCACCACAGTATGAATAGAGATGAAATTAAGATATTTGAGCAGAGACCATATATATTAATATTGTTTAAACAATTGATCAGTGTTCGTTTTAAAAATGATAGTTCATTGTTCTTGTTCCACCGGATGTACCTGCATCCCAGAGTTGATGTTCACTCAAAGACTCGAATCCAGTCAGTCAGTCAGTCAGTCAGTCAGCTACAACGTAGGACCAGGCACATATGTGCATCGGTCCAGGTTGCCATACCTCATTAGCACAACAAGATGAACACCGGATTCATAGGAGTGGTTAGGTCAAAGGTTGCAATAAGGATATAGTATAGGAAGGAAGAATTAGTTCGTGGAAAGAAAGATATGAAGTGATTTAATCTCTTAGTTTAAGGGAAGACAGGGAGTGTATACACCGACGCCATTGTGATCGATTCTGAGCCATGTCACCAAGAGTCTCTCCGTTCTGCCGAGGTGAGGTCAAGTGAATGACCACACTGGGATCCTGTATGCGTGTTTCAGAGACACAGCATACATCAATGGAAAGAGACTCTAGGGTTTTAGCCAAGGAAGCCTGCTGACCGATTTGACATAGAGTGCGTACGTTGAAAGCTCCAATGTGTAGTTTGGAGCGAGGTTTCAGTAGACCTGGGACAGAGTTTTGAGCACTAGAATCGTTGGCTATGGTGACACTTGAGGAGGAAGCCGAAGGAGGAAGTTTAGGGTTGAAAGTCGATGTAGGAGGAATAATAGGAATTGAAGAGGAAGGTTGATTATGAATACAGTGGTCTTGGGTGCTGTTAGAGGTATGAGGGCGGCTATCACTTCCCGGTTGCCCACACCGTGGAAGGGTTCTTCTGGAGGTACCTGAAAAGGAAATCGGATTAGAGGTGGTCTCAGTGACCTGAGAGCGTGACCGCAGTGCCCAAGGGACAACTGCTTGAGGCCGGTCGCGCACGGTCTTTTCGTGGAAGGTTTTCGACGTGTTAGCTCCGTTCTTCAAAGGGCCTTACCGCCGGAGACGGAAATCCGTGAGGTAAGGTGAGGTGTGCATTTTTAGGGTCGACCTTTTCTAACCCCACCCCTCCTTGTGGGAAGGCAGCATCGCTGTCATGCTGGTTGTCTGAAGGAAACACCTTACTGCTGTCACACCTCTGTACAGTCAGCAGTACGACTTCGCCTTCGGTCCTTGGGTTTGTTGCTTTTAGTCTTACCGCTCTTCAACCGACCTGTCTGACATGGTAGGACCTTGAGGAACGGTTGTTCCAGTCAGTATAGCTCGGTTGCTTCATCACGATAGGCAAGCCCGACCACCACGTCAAGGTAGCAACAACGGTCGGGACTCGAATCCAGTTCTGCACATCAATAGGAAGATCCAAGCAACCAATACAAAATGAATTAATCCTCACTTCATTGCACAAGCTAGTGGTTATCTAGACTCAGTAGCTAAATGGATAATGCGATGGTGTTTGAAGCGAACAGTGCTGGGTTCGAATCTCGGAGTGGACATCAACTCTGGGATTCATGTACATACAGCTGATGAGTCCGAAATAGGGCGGAACGCGCATCCTGGATTTCACTGCTAGCCACTACGATCTTAGCTTATAATGCTTGTGACTGAAAGCAATATCGAGACAATCCGTACAAGATGCACATATGCCCAATGAGAGACTGATCAATCGCAGTCCTAAACATCAATGGGAGGATTTATGCAATCACTACAAAATGAACTAAGTGCTTTATATGTTTTGTATTCTGCCATTAATCATAAGCATTTCTGGCGATATTACGGTTAGTTTCTTCCACAAAAGGGATAGGCTAGTTTTATTTGACAACCCATTATTTCTAGTGATTTATAGTTGAAATTGTAATGAGTTGAGCAGATTGTAGCATGCTGTTAGTATAATAAATAAATAGTGATTTCTATCAGGAATCATTTTGAAATCTTTGTAACTTCATTAATAAATTTCAGCGGACTTTTCAATTTACTTAATAAGTGCTGTTAATAACGATAAGAATGATCATTTTCAGTGCTGTTTTCAATTATCCTTTGTAAGAAAGAACAAAACCTAAAATTTTCTTGCTATTGTTGAGTTGCTTTGTTGCTTATTTTTACCAAGGATTTTTGTTTTATTCATTTACCAGTTGCTGTCATCTTACTTAAGCATCATATTCTCGAAATAAAGTGTTTCTTTAGTTTGGTAGTATTGTGGTGTATACTACTTATGTTGACAAACGTAAGTAGTATGTAACTGATCAGAAGTGAAATGCCTGGCATCCGAAGGTTGAGAAGATCGAATTGAAGAAAACAGGAATGTAAACAAGGATTAATTGTAGTGAAAACGAGAATGAAGGAAAGATGAAGCATTATGAATCTTTTCCCCCAAATTGACCATTTGTTCTTGTTGCATTCAAATCATTGTCTTGAAAATTGTTTGTAGGTAAATTCTGAAGTCTCCTGGTTACAAGTTTCACGAACCTTAGGAACACTTACGTCTCATGGAGAGGAAAGATCTGTTGATAAGCATTTAGATGATCTGTACATAGAACACTTTCATCCCTCGTTAACTACAATCAATCTTGCATCTTTAGGACAAGGATTTGTTCGTGATCTTAGCGTATTTTCCAAGATAAAGGTAGGTTCATATGATTTAAAAAATACCAAAAGCTTGTTGTTGAAAAACCTCTCATTTTCTATTATAACTGCCCACCAGCGTAACGAGGTCAAATCACTTTGACTGTGTTTGTATTTATGTCATCTAAACACTTACTTACAATAAAGGTAATATCCAATCACAATGAAGTCTATTCAGATTCTGGATAGTGTTGCCTGCCGACTGTATATATCAGTAGATGTATTTCTATTTACTCACTTTTTGATTTAATTTCTTTGTTAATCAGTGGGTTAGTTTGCTTTTTTAAAATTCTATCTCCGACATCTGCTTAAGTAGTTATGATTATTTGATATTTATCCGCTCTGTTTTTTGATTTAGCTCCATGTGCTTGTAGTTCAGAGTATAGGTGTTCAAACTGAATCGGCATTTACGATTAAATTTTACTTGCTAATATTTTCATTGTGGAGCTAAAAATCATCATCGGTGATACCGTTTTAGTGAATAAAGTTTACTCAATTGGATGAAAATCCAAGTGTATAACTTATTCAATCTATACTTTTTTCTTCATGGAGGGGTAATAATTCTTTTCTACTGTACTGTAATTGTTAACCAGTCTTCCAGTTATGTGAAGCCTTTAAAAGTGGGGATTTGTAGCTCAGGTTGATGATTTTGGTGGGGTTTGTTCTATGAGCTGGATGGTTCGGCCGTCGAGCTGTCATCGTTCTTCTGAACAGCGCCATCAGTAATAACTTCACGTAGATGTGCTCGGATTTTTCCACATATGACTCACAGCTTGTCCTGTAGACCTAGATTTGGACCTTTAATCTCTCATTGTTTACTTTATTTTGATTGTATATCCTATTGATTTGATTATTTTTCCTATATTTGTCCATGATTTTTCTGATCTGTTGATAGATTGGATTGATTTCAATGTGTTTGCTGATTGACATGAGTTCCAAGCTTCTAAAAATTCTTTGGTGTTTTTAGGATTCTTTCTATCCAAGATCTCGACATTCAGATTGTGCTGATGATGTTCAGAAGAACGATGACAGCTCCACGAATAAACCATCCTGCTCAGAGAACGAAACTCCACCATGAGCCTTTAAAAGTAGATTTCCAGAAAAGGTGTGAGGATCGCGTTAAGAATTCGCCTATTGGTTTTGAGTTTTAGCTTGAAATTACTGATTCAGTTTCTATTATTAAAGTGTAACTTCTAAGTAAAAAACGTATATATTTTTATTGTTGTGACTTGAGACACTAATTGATATCACGTGCTAAATTTACCAGCTACAATCCTGACTAGAGATTTTTTGTTAGTGCGTCTACTATTCAGTTTATATCCTAGCGTCCTTCGTTTAACTAACTATACGTTCTGACCCTCACAGTTAACTCCGTGCCGACGAAAGCTACGCTTCTATTGGTCCGCTATCCAGAAACCTTTCACTATCCCCTGCCTTAAGTCTGGAGAGCAGTTAGCAGTCAGCTTCTAGCATACCCACATTTTAATCATCCAGCCCTGCCAGCCAACACAATCAAGAACTTTCTCAAACACCCACTGGCCTATGTACACGAGTTGTCAAACTGCACAACATACCAAATAAAAAATCACACTAAATACAATTATACTATAAGCAGTAAAGAGCGAGACACAGTAAATAGTTAGCAATAATTAAGGAATGGTAAAACGTTTAACGAAAATTAGTAGATCCATTGGAAGCTTATAATGAAGAAAACGTAGAAATACAATTATATAGTTATTCACTGATCATACAGTAAAAGCGTGTATAATAATTCGAAAAATTGTTTCACAAGTTCCAACTTTTCCAGTATTCGTTTCATTTACAGTGAAAATGATTTTTGTATCCAATTAATAATGGAACATCATACATATTACCTGGTCTAATCTGTATGCGAAATTGTGAGAATGTATATCGGTACCTAGGATTTAGTTATATCATGTTTTAGACAACTCATTAAATACAGGTGCATTTGTTCTGCCTCGAGCTATACCTTTTTTCGTTCAGTTTAGTAATATTGGTATCCAATCAAAACGGTGGGAGCGAAGAAAGCGAGCTGACATTAAACCGGCTGTGTCTGATTTTCCCTGTCTTTTTGCCTCTACGACTGATCAATACGTAGTTTTCTAAATGTATAGTTTAATGATGAGTCTACCTTCAAAATGTATTGTAATTTTTCGAATTTGGTAACAACTTGTTATTTCTATTTCTCCAGTGCGCCATTTTTCACTCGCTCTTGCTCTTGTGAATCAGCAATACTAGCTGCTGGCCTAATCCAAATTATTTAGATTGATCTTTCATCTGCAGCTTCATAGTTGATAGCTGAGTATGCTAAACACCAAGCAATGCTTTATCATACCATCTCAATCGATATCAATCAATAATAGATACCTTCATTGATGTCGAGCTTATGATTTTACTAATATTCCTTAATTGTTGTATTTCCAGCCTACAATACCTACTATGCCATTATTGGTTTCTACTGGATGGGATTCTGTTGGTGTTGTTGATCGAACTAATGGTAAATTATTGGCTGCTCATCGACTCCCAACTCAACCAACTGGTCAACCAATTGTTATTTCACTTGCACTATCCAATACAACTAAATTTTCAGAAGTTGTAAATGTTCCTACTATATTGTTGGTTCCATGTAATGATATGTACGTGTTGTTCTGTAATTAAATGTCTTTTAATGCAAAAAACATAACATCATTAGATGCTTTACTATCGAATTTCATCGGATATTTTTGTTTGAATAACTCTACTTGTAGTTCATCTGAGGTTACCACCGGTCCCATGCCCACACAAAGGAGGAGGGTTGGGAATGGGGTCAGCAACCACATCCCATAGAAAACAACCTTGCTAATAAACACTAACCAGAATAAACAAATTAAATCACTTAAACTCTACCCTCCGAGTTGAAGGGTCTTCATTCAGAAGAATTATAACACCTTATGGCAAAAGCCGAGATCCTTCAGAAGTCACGAGACAGAATCCCTTCCTAACAACCACAGCAACAATTAATATAGGTACATGGAATGTTCGGACAATGTGGGAGACTGGGAGTACTAATGAAATAGCTGCGGAAATGCGGAGATATAACTTGACGGTTCTCGGAATCAGTGAAACCTATTGAACCTAGTGTGGACAGGAGAAGATAGATTCGGTAGGGATGTTGCTGTACTCTGGTGACGAAGAAGAAAATGCTGCACACACTGAGGGAGTTGCTCTGATGCTTTCGAGAGAAGCTCGTAAAGCACTTATAGGATGGGGATCTGTTGGATCCAGGATCAACAAAGCATCTTTGAAAACAAAGAGGGAGGGAATCACAAGGAAGACGGCAATCAGCAACAGTCGAACAATAACGGAGAAGGTCAAGGTACAGACCGAATACACAGAAGCAAATGAGCAAGTGGATTGGAGTATTAGAGCTGATAAGAAGAAATAGATGGAAGAGCTAGTAGTGGCAGCGGAGAAAGCTGGAAGAGCGGGAAATATGAAACAACTATATGATACAACGAAGAAACTGGTAGCGGAAAAAATAGTAAGCCAGGTAAGCCAGTCCAGAACAGAGAAGGTTAAACCAATCACTGAGAATCAAGAGCTGAGGAATAAATGGGTAGGTCAGCTTGAAGAACTCTTGAATAAACAGCTCAACTAAACCCACCAAACAGCAGCGGTACACACAGACATCCGATAGGAGATCTGAGCCATTGTGAGAACTACAGACGAGTCAAACTACTATTATCACTAGGAAACATTTTCAACAGAACGTTTGTGATCAAATGGTCAGAACAATTTGAACTCTTGAATAGTCCAGCTCAACTAAACCCACCAAACAGCAGCGGTACACACAGACCTCCAACAGAGGTCACTCCACCAACGATCAAAAGTCAGAATGGCCATCAGACAAATCAAGAGTGGGAAATCAGTAGGACCTGACAATATACCAGCCGAAGCACTGAAATCCGAACATGCTACACGTTCGATGACGAACACTGGTGGGTGGCCTATACTCTCCCTCGAGGGGTAACATGCGTATTTAAGTTTGCTTGCATACATTTTTAATCATTATTTCTGACCGTTACTGGATGCAGCTCTACTTTTTGAGATAATGGGCATATTACCAAACATCAATTGCGCTAAAGTATTAATAACGTCTCACAAATATCATAATGTTTGTTGTGAATTAATCATCTTAAAGGCGCATCACTTACGAAGAATATGCTTCAACATAAGACGGGGTACCCCAGTTCATTTTCAATGCAATTTCAGCTAATATATATAGCTAAAATAAAGGTACACCCACAGGTGTTTACTATAAGAACCGAGGCCACATTCTTGAAGGTAAAATGAAGCACTAAATTTGCAAACTAGGTTAATCTTTTATATTTAGCAAGAGATTATTGAAGTATAAAATTTGATAAAGCCAAGAGAGAAACAATGACTGATATTTCGCTCATATTTGATCGTCTGATTAGCTACTAGGAGTAAAATAACCATACGTTAGTGATTGAATAAGAAACAGAATCCTATGTCTTCATTATTTTATGTTGTTGAGTTATTAAAATTTCCAATTGCACACTTATTTTGCGATTTCGTGTCGTATAAAATTAACTAAACTGGAATTTTCTTTTCTTTTTGCTTTATTTCCGTTTTTAGACTTGTTGGTTTTGTTTTAGTACAAAGTCTACGCATATGGCTTTTGATACCTTTGATAATTAGTTTGACTGTATCATTCTTTGTGCTTACATGGTGTTGTGATTTGGATGGATAAACTGTTGAAAACTTAAAATTAATATTATTCTGTTTTTGAATAGGTTTAGCTAATTTTTTGTATTTATGATTATTGATTCTCGGATTTTATGTGTCGATAAATTTTAATTTGTACTATTTGCCTCAACCATCATTACTTTAAGTTAGTGGGTCAACGCTGATTTGGATCTGTTGTTGTTATAGTCTGTTGTATTTCCTAATGTTCTCCTCATTTGACTTCTCGTATACTTGTGTATTTTCTTAATCGTGATAAGATCATTTGTCACATGGGATGACATAAAAAATTTGATAAGATTTTCATTTTTCATTACTTATATCTTTAGTTTCCTTAAATCATAATGAATTGCAGTATAAACAATGATGAACGTAAAAACGAGCAGCAGTAAGGTAATTTGAAATACTTTTTGAGAAATACATCATTCTTCATTAAAGTTTTGAAAAGAGCGTTTGAAATCAAACACCCTCTATTATATATGTAAATTGAAGAACTCAACTAATCTTATTTCCCAACATAAGGCACACAATAGTTCTCATGGGAATCCTCTAGGAATATGATCATTACATTTTAACGCCGTAGTGAGCTGTTACGACGACTTGGAAGTCTCGACGCTTTTAAACCAACGTTTAGTTTGTTGACCGCTTCATTTCCTTTTGGAACTGAAGCAGTCAATCCTGGTCTTCAGATGAGACCTGAAAGCTGAAAACAGTCTAAATGAATTGTTTAAACATCTAAGGGTAGCTAAATTCTATTCGTCATTGGTAAAAAAAAACCTCACAATTTAAAAGATTCAACTCTCACCATATTCTTTATTTTGGCGCCAACTTTTATTTGCGAATAAGCTTCTTATGTACCCATCCAACTAGTTGAAATTCGGATCTCAGCTCATAGATTTAAATCTGAAGTTAGTATTGGACATTACGATAAGGCAAACAAATTTTGATCATAATGAACTAATAAAAAGCTGCATAGTAGGAGTGGCACATTTACATACATTTACGCTTCCCTACTTCGCAATGAACAAGAGTCAGCCGCTTAGTGGTTCGACCACTATTCACTTTTCTTGAAATCTTACCCTAACTCATCATTACTTATTCAATAATATGTCATTTTTAAGATAACCCAGTCATCTTAGTCAGTGAAGGCTCATAGCATCTCTGTTTAGAACTTTGAGCTTAACACTACGGTTCCTCATTCTACACTTAATGTAACAAATTAGCAGATATGATGAACTGGGAATCTATCGAATTCGAATACATTGCACAGAAACAGCTAGTTCTTCAATAGATTTCCTACATTGTTTGTTTCATTTTCATAAATGTCCAAGGAAATAATTGTGAACAGGAGAAAAAAGCGAAAAACGCTAATAGCATGTCGAGAAGAATTGAGACATAAGTTACCCATGTTCATTAGCGTTAGCGTAATGTTTATCTCATCAAAGATTTATCGATGTGCTTATGACTAATTTATTGTTCATATGGACATCAGATAGTGATTTATCATGTTTTATTAAATTATACAATGGGAAACATGATTAATATGAGAAAAGTAAAAGGGGTGAATAAAATTTGTGGGAAGAACAGGATATGAAAAGGTATTGTTATCTATAAGTACACAATAAACAAACAGTGGGCATAGAAAGAAGAAAGAATGTAGAAGCACCTGAAAAAGTTTGATTTTATCGTTTTACAGGAAGAAGAAATGTCACCAACCAACAGAATTAGGATTTGTGGGGTTACTTCTCGGTTATTATGAGGTATTGGGATAACAACCTTGTCGCTTATAATGTCTCATGGTCAGTATTTTAATACTGGTCTGTGTATTGGTCTTTTGGCTGAACTTAATCACCGACAGTAAGTCATCCACTGATATGAACACTCGGGTACGTTTATTTCGAAATCGCAGTTTTATGATTGGATCATGTAAATGTCATATTAAACAGGATTTCTCCCAGTTTATTAGCTTTTTATGCATGGGTAAATAATATAAATAAATTAATTTCATATATTTTACGAATCTCCACTTGTACTGGTTGAACGATATCAAATGTAACTACTACTTTTTGTGGGAATCAGTTCGAAAACTATTTAAGACGCGTCAGGAAATTGATACTACTTTTATAGTAATTCAGTAGTATGAAGTATAAATGTGAACTTGAGTGGTTTCTAGTGTTAGCACGTCTAGGTGGTAGGATGGATGAGAAGCCTTGTATAATCATCCGTGTAATACCCAATTTTGTCAGTTGGAAAAGTCCGTGCAATTTATTGGGATTGAGTTTATCATAAATATATATAACTACCTAGTATTCTTTGTAGTCGTATTTAGTTACGATAAGCTTGTCAGCAGTGAAAACAAGCATGGAAATTTTAATGGCTGAATAATGTTACTGTTTATATTTATTGTCACTCAACTTAAAGAAAAATGTTGGAAGCTGGCTCCTGTTTAATTTAGATTTTCCAATGTAACAGTTGTAGATAATTTTAAGCAGATAGTCATCTTAAAATTATTAATGAAGAAATTAAGGTAGGATACCTTCTACATTTTTTAAAGTTTCTAGGAATCTACTCATTGCTTCTATCATAACGATCTACTTTATTTCTTATAACATAAGTAATTAGTTTTCTAATTGGGGATATTTTTATTACTTTTATGGATCTTGTGTCTGTAGTAAGTTGACAGAATCTATTCTATGTAGGATGTTGAAAAACTGAATTTTCTTTATAATCTGGATAATATTGCATTGCTTCATATATTAGTTGAACAGTAATTTATAATAACATCGTACATTTTATGTGTTTATCATAGTCTCAGAGAATTAGCACGGCCTACCAAGGATACATTACTGATGTACTCATTGAATACTGACGCTTATTTTACTAGAGAGAAATACCATTACGAACTGGACTGTTTAAGAACCACTTGAATATGTTTATCCATTTCTAAGTGTTACTGAAGTCAGTGAATCGTTCTCAAATAACAGGATACAGACGTGTGCGAAATCAAACTTAAAATACATATGTTTCCTTGATAAATAGATGAGGTAGATACATAAGTAATTCGCGAAAGAATGATTCTTTAGTTACTGTGCAATGTAGTTAGTCATGATATTTGTCAGAATTATCATGAAGCTACTGCTAGAAAAGTACTAACTAGATTAATAATTGGATGGTTACCAATCTGAGATGATCAAAGTATGTTTTATTTATGTACTAGTTCCAAATCCCTATCGAATAGATATAAGAAAGCTCTATATCTGCCTAAGCAAGGTTTGCTTTGTAAAAAAAGTGATTGATGAAAGATAAAAATAAACATTACTGATTCGAAAAACTTACTGGTTCTAAAATGGAAGTTCGAATATGATGTTACCTGTGGAATTTCTATAGATTGTGAAAGAAATGCACTGCTGAAAATGATCACTGCAACAAAGCCATACACTTAGACCACTACTCTATTGTGACAGCTACAAATAAATAAGGTTTGAGTGAATTGACATTTGATAAGTCCATTTAGCACTTCTTGGTCCTCTGAAGCTATTTAAATCTAGTAAAAGTCAGATAATTTCATCGTCACATTTCTGAAATTAAACCCTCATTATTGGATAAACGACAAATAAACATGATTAGTAGCTCTGTACACGTCCACTTAATGTGGACAAAGTAAACTTATGTAAAGGTTTCGAGTGGTCTGTCACATACTTCCCTGTATCCGTACGATTTTCATGTTTTAAACTATAAAGATCTGCGCATCAATAAGTCTGTACAATCAGTGTCAGTATTTTAAAAATTTAATTTATCATTATTCTCTAACAGCGATTTAATTTTGACGTTGAAAACACCTGGATAGGTGTTGCTTCTCAGCATGGTACTGCCGAGTAGTGCGAATCCGCAACTCAAATTTTGACCTAACCAAGCAACTGACACTAGATAACTGAACCGGTATCTAGTGGTTTTCTATTCAACAATTCACAGTTATTTACATCTAATATCTTTCCAACTCTTCCAGAGTTTTTGCATCAAGTGTAATTGGACTGGTGTTCTCCGTGTTGTATTTGGAGATCTTACTTTTTACCTTGTGTATGTTGAGGACTACTGATGCAGTGGCTACTGCTACACAGGTTCTCTTGGTATGCATTCGTTCGTGTGTGTGTGGGATAGAAGAGCCAAGTCATCTGCAAAGACCATATCGTCTAGTTGCATGCAAGCTGTCCATTGTATTCCGTGCTTCCCTTCAGATGTAGAGGTCTTCATAATCCAGTCAACCACCAGAAGAAAGAGAAAGGGGGAGAGTAAGCAGCCTTGCCTGACTCCGATCCTCACTTGGAATACGTCTGTCAGCTATCCTTCAAGCACGATTTTTCAGTGTAGTCCATCGTATGATTTGCGACTGATGCTGACGACTTCCACAAATACACTATAGTTTCGAAGAACATCACATAATAATAAATAAGAATAATATATTCGTAATATCCCAATGAGTAGAAAATTAGATTTCCTGACGTTTCGTGACTTAGTGTAAGTCACTTCTTCAGAGAATAAAAATCACATAATAGTCTTCTATCCACGCTGTCAAATGCTTTCTCATAATCAAGTTAGTTGATGTGTGTTGACGATTTCCACTCAATCGATTGTTCAACGGTGATCCGTAGTGTTAGGATTTGGTCTGTGCACGATCGATCCCTACGGAATCCAGTCTGTTGATCTCGAAGTTGGGTGTCTACTGAATCTTTCGTCTGGTTGAGCAACACTGTCGAAAACTTCTAGTGATACCGATAGTACTGCGATGCCTCTGCAGTTCTCACATTTGCTTAGATCTACTTTCTTTTGTATTTTGATGAGGTCTCCTTTCTTCCAGTTTATCAGCGTCACTTGTTTCTCATCGAAAATCTTCGTGAATAGAGTGTGGATCATGTTTGCAGTTGCTTCTATGTCTGACTTCAGTGCTTCGGCTGGTATATTGTCAGGTCCTACTGATTTCCCACTCTTGATTTGTCTGATGGCCATTCTGACTTTTGATCGTTGGTGGAGTGACCTCTGTTGGAGGTCTGTGTGTGCTGCTGCTATGTTTGGTGGGTTCAGTTGAGCTGGACTATTCAAGAGTTCAAATTGTTCTGACCATTTGTTTCTCAGCTCTTGAATCTCAATGTTCTAACCTGTTCGTTCGGGTTGAACATATTTCCCTGCTGGTCTTTTCGTCGGATCGTATCTTTGTTTCATATTCCTTTTTATGCTATCATTGTTATGTCTTGCACATATTTGCACTTACCAGCTCTAACGCTCTTTTCACTCGTTTTTTGCCTCTATGTATTTAGTTTGTTCCTGAATTTTCCCACTGTCGTTCGAGTGTTGTTTATCACTGTTTTTTGTTCCTTTCCTTAATCTTGCTCAAGGCATCTATAAACACCCATTCTTTATGCTAATAATTCTTGAGGCCTAGCTTCTC